GCAAAGGTTAGCTTTGGTACCAAGAGGCCCACAATTCAGGTTAAAACAGAATACTCCACACTAGGATTTGCAGACTAAGTAGCCTGTGGATGAAAAGTGAAAGTAGCTTTTAGCCATGTGGTCAGCCAGTGGGACACTTTGTCCATGACCAGGTGCACCACCACATGCGTACGCTGGGACATCGCCCACAGCCAGCAGCCACTGCCCTGCAGTGTCTCTGTTGGCAGCCAAAACCTGCCATCTTTTGGTAATCATGCTTTTCATTATTTAATGCATTAATAAGGCAACTGTAATCAGTATGAATAAAAAAGGGTTTGTGTGGTTTTCGTATGATCACTGTCATCTATCCAAAAGATGTTTTCACTTTCTAATGTCTCCTTTGCACTGTTATGGCAACTAGCCCAAAGGGTCCTGGATGTTTGTTTTTGTTTTCTCGCTTCTCTCTCCCTAAAACAGGCTCCCCTGTCCTCTCATCTTTCCATACACACACTTTATCCACAACTACTATGTTGATTGAGGCTATAATGAAATGTATTATTTCACCAGAGACTTTAGTGCCTTGCATTTGACCTGATAAATGGTGTGACCATAAGGCTTTGTCATGCTGCTTTCACCATATCTAGCCTATGAACCTATTTTCATTAGTTACAGATGACTGAAAAATAATGACAAGTCAAGTGAAATTTTGCAGGTAAATTGCAAACATTTTTGACCACTTTGCAGCTTTCCACTGACATTTCAGAAACATCCATCCAACTTAAGAGGAGGTCAAGATGTATGTTCTCAATTTTATGGCACGAAAATATCTGCTTGCTTTTTGCCAAAATAATGAAATTATTTAACGCATTTTACAGTTTTCATGGACCCATGATTTCCAGCTTCACCAACTTCACAGATCAGTTATTAAAGTCTGTTTTTTATAACCCACATCAGCCTCTCAACAGAAGGCATGATTTGACTCTGATTTACATAAAACATATCAGATTTTCATCATGTCTCTTCAGAGGGAGCAGAATCTGTACATCTTTCACAAACCAGGCCTAGTAGAAAGCAAACAGCAATTCATTAAGGTAAATTTAAACATTTTTAGAATGAAATTTTGATGGGGGAAAAAAACACAGTGGAAGGAACCAGTACTACTTAGTCTGCAATACTCAGCTGTCCTACTGGAAGCGTCAATGGCAACTTTAGTACCACCTAAAAGGCCTGAAATAGCCATTACATATCATAAAATAACGCTATGGTTGTTTCCATCTTCAAAGTAAAAGCAGCAAACTGAGGAAGGTGAGTCCCACGAGGACCGCATGGGCGCAGACCTCACTGGGAACAGCAGTTATAACTCTCCCCATTCCCGGAGCCGACATCAGCACCTATGCTGAGTGCAACGCAGACATATGCAGGCTGGGAATGCAACCCAGGGCTGCTGGTATTCTCATTTTTAAAGATTACTAATTTGTAGAGTCATACATTAGTAATTTTCTTTAAGTTCACTGAAGCAGAAACTAACTCAACACAACTCCAGTGAGCCAATTTCTCACAGTTTCTCCTTGCGGAAAGAGTTGATAAACCTGAGCTGCGAGATTGCCTGTGAGCGCCGAAGGCTCTCCATCACACCCGATACCTCCTGATAGCTTTATTTGACGATTTGGCAAAACAAAACCAAGAAGCTGATACTAGAAAGAGAAATTTAATACCAGTGCTTGTGATTTATGAAATGTTCTAGTACAGGTTTCACTTGCAGTTTTTCTAGTTGGAGAGATGATACGTAATTCAAGCTCGCCCCCCAGTGGACTCCATGCCCACACCAGTACACTAAGTTTTGAGGACACTGGTGAGAAATATTGGGGAGCTAGACAATAGCATACTTAAAAAAACCTAGGAGTTACTCGAAGAGAACTAAATGCAGCTGTTATTGTCTATAATATTTTGTTTCCATTTTTAATTATAAGAGGTATACCTTCCAACCAACCAAGTTGTTCATCCTGTCAAAATACTGCATTGTTTTTCCTCCTGTATCCAAATGACTGTGAATGTTTTAGTGGCTATGCATATACAGTAAGTGAAAAAAAACAATAGTTCTCAAACACATCCTGCTTAGGTAAATGATTGTCAGCAAGATCAGCCTGCCTAAAGAAAAAAAAAAGTCCTGATTATGCAATGCTAAGTTTCTGTGATCTTTTCTCAGAAAGTTTCCTACTGAAACTTGCTCACCCTTGCGTGCATAGCTGTCATACTTCATTTATATTTATCCCAAACTGCACTAATTACTGTGGGTCATATGTGAATAATTAACTTCTTTTGCCTGAAGCAAAAGTAAAGGCCAAGATAAAAAAAGGTAAGATGAGATTAATACACAGAGTACGCTACATGTAAGTCTGAATACACCAACTTCTTACCAAGACCTGAGAAGTGTTGTGTAAAACACATTGAATTTTAACAGCATGACACAGATTTTCTCACTGGATCCATTGGCTAAATTCAGTGCTCGCCTTCTCTCTCGAGTGCACTTTACTTCTTACATTGCAGCAGGCATGAAGACATGACAATATAAAGCAGTTAACAGCTGACATTTAATAAAGGTTTTTGATTTGATATTATTTTTCTTTTCTCCCTGAAGGAATAAACCAACATCCAACATGACTGCAAAATACTTCAGGAAGCTGCCTTTTGGGGTGGGGATTCATTTCAGCCAGCTAACAGCCTGGTAGGTACCTGGGCTTCCTCTGTATTCAGCAGTGAAAGAAAAGCACCTTCACAAGCCAATCCCTGGGCCTACCTGAAGAGGGAATAACGTGCCCCAGAGGTGCCAATCCCTCTTCTCTGACTACCCAGAGATCCCAGACAGATAGCATAGCCTAGACACCCAGCTGCCAGGGCACCAAGGCTGGGGAGATGGATCCTACGATTACAGCAGGTACAGAAACTCCCTTCATGCTGCTGGAGAGTTACAGCTGCAAAAGCTGTAATTACCAACACCATTTCAAGCCTTCAGTGCCTAGTTTTGAGCACCCTAAGTGCACAGCCTGAGATTCAGCAGTGCAGAGTATCTAACACTGAGGGTGCGCTACCCCAAGCACTGGTCTGCCATGAGATCACTCATGAATTACAGACTCATGACAAATGTGATTCTCAGTGTTTTCAAACATCATGGTAGAGAAGAGCCTTCTGTATATCTGGGCTAACTTGGGTGTGACATTTCTGAGGTTGTTCAGATCTAGTTTTGTAACTCAGCTCCTTACATGATGCTTGCTTATGTTCCTGGGCTGGTTGCCAGTCTTGCAGGCTAGAAAAGAGTGACCTCCCTGTGGTATAAGCAAGTGAAGTGGTATTTTTGGTTCAAACCTAACAGTCTACTGTTTTCATGCCTCTGCTGGGCTCTCTGCCTTCTGATCTGCTACAGCCATATAATGCTCAAAGGGTGATACAGGCAAGACTAGGGAAAAAACTTAGAAATCAGGGCAGGGAGAAGGAAAGGGACAGAATAGGGTTAGATTGGGATAAAAGAAGTAAAACAAGAATGACAGAGAACAAGGTGAGAGGGTAAGGATATATAAAATGTATCAGAAGGCTAGGGATGGAAGACCACATTGAAGACAGGAAAGAATAGGGAAGAGGAAAAAAGAATTAAGACAAGACATGATAAATCAAGAGAGAGGAGAAGGCACAAGCATTAATGGGAAGATATGAAGAAACTAGAGTAACTGTCCTGGAGGGAAATGTAATGAAATTCCCAGATCACCAGAAAATTTCCACTGTTTAAGGAAGGGACTCTTACCTTACAGAAATTGGTTTAGTAGGGGGTATTAGGATGGAGCCTTGTTCAGTATTCCTCTCAACAAAAGTCCTACCAACCAAAAGACATATTGGAAAGAGTGATGGAGACGTGGCCTCATGTGAAATGGAGAAGCCATCACTTAATTTTTTAAAATAATATCTCATACTCTTTAGAGTACATCACACCACAGAAAGCGCCAGCAGATTCTCAGCAAAGAACAACGTGCTACATGCTGGATAAACACCATCTTTTCTCCAAGGAGTTACAAGAATGCTGAAGTACATTAAGAGCAGAGAGATCAATAAACTTTAATTTAAGCAAATCAGCAGCAGAGTAAGGAACAGCACTGAAACTCAGAGCGTTCTGTCCACTGCCTTTCTAGCCATCCAAGCAATCCCCTTTTAAATTGTTCTCGGTGACTTCAAATTGCTGGTGAGTTTATCCACAATAAAATTACAACAATTACACGTCATTGATTCAGCTACCCTTACATGCCTGTCACATAGACTAATAACAGCCCATAAAGTTAATAAGGACACCACGTATTGATTAAGTGTTAAGTAGTATCATCACTGAATGGGACCCAGCTCATCAAGGCACCTCTCCTGCATCTCTGTTGTAGGGACCTAGTGCAACCTATTCTCATATAATGACCGACTTCCCTCTGCAGTATGTGGTAGGTGCCTCTGAAAGCCTCCAGAAAGAAATACTGAGGTCTTGAGTTTACCCTTGAATTGAACTGAAGGCATTTAGTGGCACCAAGCAATTCAAAGGCTACATCTGTAAAAGCAAATAGTAGCTCAACAGGAGGTCTGTAGAGTGAAAAAAATGGTGCTGAAGATCCATGTCCACACTATATGCTCTTCTTGACGGTTTTCTTTGGACTAGCTCTGGTTAGTCCCAAGCAATGACCACCCATTGTTCACTGAAGCACAGTAGGTGTGTCCCTGGAGGCCACTTTTCTGTTTAGTTTCATCTGAAAGGAGCCTGGTTTGTGCTGACACTGGTCTTGTGCTGTGAAGTGGGGATCACAGGGAAGTTCAATTCAAAAGCACACTCTTGATCTGCACCAGAACACCAATGCTGGTGCACTTGCAGACATATCTGTTATTTAGGTACAGGCCTTTGGCTCTTAATGTAGGATAATGAATTCAATAGGTCCTAAATTAGGCAGAAGGGAACCTGCTTGGCTTAACCACGGTACACAGTGCCAGCAAAGTCTTACCTGTGTGCGTCCTCCTGTGAGCCTTCAGGTGGGAACTTTTTGTGTATACTTTGTTGCATCCCTCAAAGTCACACCGATGGATGCGCCGCTTCCTGGAGTCTGGAGACTCAGACCTTCTCTGACGCCTTGTGCTCTCAATACTGAATGGTGAAATTGAACTAGAAGACAGAACAGAAGCAAAAAAATTAAGAAAGAGCATGGTGTATATCCTGGGTCCCAAAAGATCAGCTGTAACGTATCATTGTGCCAGAAGTGACCTTAACAATTAATTAAATACTTCTTTTTCTACAATGTAGTCCACAGCACATATTTGAAACAATCTGTGCTTGAACTAGAGTGTATTTTGCAGCATGAAGTAATTAAACTCTTGATTTAGAAGCGCTTATTGCCAGAGAAAACACCACGATCCTTGAAATACTGCTCCAATAATGAAGTAGCCTGACTTTATCTGAGCTTTATTTCTATTTTACACGTGTCTAGATCCAAGCGCACTGAACCCTGCTTTCTAAACAACTTTATATATAGCCTCTATAATTTCTGTTTGACAAGTTTAAATAGATAAAAATCCTGAAACCTTTTATAGAAAAGTGTTTCCAGTACCCAGATCTGGACTATGGATCCTCAAGTTTGGCCAAACACCTGTTGTTTGCTTGCGTACAGATTGCTAACAGATCCGTATCACCCTGCAGCAGCTATTTTTCCATTTCCTTATTTAACAATTCTCAATCTATCACCTGCAAGTCAATGAATTTTACTTTCTTTTAGACCACTGATAAATAAAAAGTTTATTAGCACAGGGCCAGTGAACAATCCCTACAGAAATGCAAATGGTCATCGAAGATACTCCATTTACAGCAACGTCCTAAGGCCTATCAGTTGTCCTAATTTTAAGCAATTAAAAATATAATGTTGAAGTCACATTGCTTGAGTTTCTAAATACAGTGCATACTGAGGCTAATACTTGAAGAAAGCCTGCTACAACAATGCACTTGCCTCAGTTAGATAAACCTGTGTCATAAACTATTATCAAGCTGGAATACCAAGATCCAAACCCTCATTGACTTCCATTAATTATATTACCCAGCAATAAATCATTATTAATTGATCGCCTTATCAACCCCATTATGGTTATACTGCACAGCAGTCACGTTCACCTACAGCTATAGTAGCCTGTTTAGCTACTTTAAGTACTGGAACACCATTGGCCTTCTTCAAGTTTCTGGGGCTTCCCCCACATTCCTGGGTTTATTGACATTTAAGGTAAATGATCTAGAGATTCGTCAGCCAGCTCTTTTAAACTCTTAGTTTAAAGTTCTCAGTTCTCCTGAAAGAATTTGTGACTGTCATATGAAAATGAATCGGAGGAAAAGAAACTGAATCTGATCACAAAAAGAAGCACGAATCTTTGGGGAAGCTAAGATACTGAGAAAGGCATTTGAAAGAACCACTGATGTTGATGCATCTGCTGAGAAGCTCCTGTGTCAACACCAATCTGCAACCTTCTGTTACAATAGCCGCTGCTATTACAGCTATAGCTTTTCTGGAAAAAAACTTCACTTTTAGAGATTTCCAGAATTTGCTGAGGACTATTTATATTGGGTTAAAACTTTGCATAAAGCATCTTGCACTGTTAGCATGTGATTTCACTGATGTTCCAATTCTCTGCATTACAAATCTTTAAGCCTTGAATTAATGGTAGTCCAAGTGCCACATTTTTCTCTTTGTTCAAATATTTTTACAGTACAACCCTAATTTAAAGCAATATTTAAAAAAAAATGGAGTACTCTGTTTCTGACAGCCCTCTTTTTCTCTTAACACTTGATATATATTCATATTTAACCTTCAGGCAAAGAGATTTTCCAGATTAATTATTTTTGCCTATAATACAATATGTGTAAACGGGTGTGCGGGGAATTTCTGAAATGGAAAAAGAAATGGACAGACAGTCATAATATCAACATTAACTAGCAAAAAGTAGTCCCTAAGAGAGTAAGACACATCAGCACTAACTATATGACAAGAATACAGATATGTTTAGCTGTCACAGAAATGGCTTAGGAATTGCATGTAAGCATCTGCATCTCAGGGCAAATAAAAGTCTTGGGTTAGATGTTTCACTGAGAACCGTCTTGCTACTCCAGTTTTTTTTTTTAACTATCCCACCAGCTAAAATAAAAAGCAAACATGTAAATCTGTTCATAAAGCTCAATACTGAAGGTACAAAATCCAGTGCTCAAGACCAGAAAATCTTTATCTTTAAAAATAAATATCTGTGCATCATTTTTGTGTGAATATGATTTATGAGCCATCTTAAAAGCCTATTTTGTAACAGGGCGTTCAGATCCTGGACAGTACAGCCAGTTTAAATGGGAGGAGGATCAAGCTTATAAGGCTGCTGCAACTTCCAGCCCCAAGACAAAGCAAGCCTTAAGCAGAGTCAGCACCTTGTAAAAAGCTATTTGTCATATACAAGAAAGTGACCTCGTTGCTGGGAACTGCTCTGTGCTTTCCTGGGTGTTTGTACAGGAGAGGGTGGCATAAAGCAGTACCACGAAGGTGGCACACGATCAGTGCTGCTGCTTCTTAACTGGATTGTTCCCTCTTTCTAAAATGCAAAGCATCCTACCTATTCCACGCCAGGGAAAATAACCGAGTAAACCACACAAGGCGACGTGCATTGCCACCATCCCCTGGGAGCTTCACAGCCATCACTTGCTCAGCGTTACCAACTGCTGGAACCAGCAAATGTAACCTCATGCCTTCCCTTTGCAGCAGTGCAGGCTGAATGACAAACTAACCAGCAGAACAGACTCACGTGGCAAGTGAGAGCACACCTCCAAGGTGATCTTCCTCTGCCACTCTAACTCCCATGGCACAGGGGGACCCCCCAGTGCAGACACGCTCAATGGTGGAAAAGGAGCCAGATCCTACCTGATACCACCAGCTTTGTTTTAGCCTTACAAAAGCTGTGTGACTTTTAAAAATGGAGATACCACAGGAAGCCCTAAAAAGAGCACAAAGCGCTTTTTTGAGCTTCCTGAGGTTAGTCCCTCTCACAGGAACTTTCAGTTGATTTGCTGATGTTCTTTCCCTTGGCCATAGAGCAGTGAAGGGACACCCTCCTTTTTCGCAAGCAATTTCTACAAAATACCCTCACTGACTACACAGACATAAAAAAAGTCCTCAAAACCATGTCTGGGGCCTTTTAAAGGCCACAGGAGTTCTGCCAGGTGGCTCTGGTCAGCACAGGGCTCCAGAAACTACTGTTTGATGGCACCACAGTGGACAAAGACTTTGAGAATGGACATGACAGGGAACTCACAGGTATTTATTTTTTTTTACTGAGTTTTTTCTTTTGTTTATAATGTATTTAAAATCACATAAATTAAATAAATTAAAACAACAACATATCGTAGCAGCCTCTTTTGACCATAGGTGTCCCTCACAGACTGCCCAGAGTGAAGACCTGAAAACACGTCAGCAGCCAAGAGCTGCCAGGGTGCCCAGACCAGGAGCTGCCAGTTCTTCTGTTAATGGCCAAGATCTCAGTCAGCCTTTAAGGCTCAAGGTGGGGTTTAGCAATAGGACTGACACCAGATGTAACATCCCAGCAAAACTGCAGGATGCCTCAAATTACTGCCAATACACCAAGTTTGAAAGAGAAATTAACAAAGAAGAAAACTGGGTTCTGACCTGTCAGCTGGACATTTATTTATTTGCAGTTTGTTATTTCTAAAAACTGTAAAATTTCTATGTTAGTGTAAAAACTGTTACACTAACAGAAATCCTGGGAGACTGCTGGCTGCCTCCATAAGCAGCTGCAACACCTGTGCTCAGTACTGCTCATAGGGGGAAAATGAATGAAACCAATGTGAGCATTTACGGTGATTTACAAAACTTCAGCTGTGTTATTTCCAGCTAGAAGTGAAAACACGCATCTGCAACTCACGCATGGCCAAATGCTTGTCTCTCTGATGAAAAAAAGTCTGCAAAGTAAAACAAAGACTGGGGCTTTGCCGGTAGATGGCCATCAAGTTCTGCTGAACATGATCTGCGCTGCATGTGAAGGGGATTAAAACAGCCCTGTTAATGCGGGATTATTTCTCCTTTCTATGGTTGCTGCCCATGACCTCCTAGGTGTTTCGCCTCTGTTCTACATACAGACTGTGAAAGGCCCTTAGGATATGCAGTAACACTGTTAAACGCAGATGTAGCAGGTCTTTTTATACCAATCCTGTTGTCTTCTAAGCAATATGCAGAGCAGAGCTGCCCGGGGAGCATGGTATGTTTATTAAAGCCTTGAACTGTGTTCAGTGCTGCGACACGCCAACAACATGCCATGCAGTGACAAGTTGCTGCGCACTGGCTGCTCCCCACAAACAGCCTGCTCATGTGCTCTCACCCTGTGGCAAACATGCAGTGTGTCGGCCACCAAAGGACGAGCTTCCTGGTGCTGCCAGCAAGGTGGGCAAGAGCTGGCTGACACGGCCAGCATGGAGCTGCTGATGTGCAGCCAGCCACGCTTCGCTCTTTGCTGTACAAACCCAAACAGTGTCGCAGTGTTGTGTTTTTGTCCTTGTGATTGCCACCTTTACTCTTCCTTGGCCCCTCCGCTATGAGCTCAGGCTCTTTGGTTATGTCTCCTGCCTGCCTCGCAAAAGACCTCATGGAAAACACACTGACCCAGGGCAAACAGGTATAGACCAGCTTGTGTCCAAAGTCCCCCACACCTTACCATACGTCCCTCCTTCATAGCATTCAGAATATACTACCTTCTTCCCTAGCTGGCCCTGTAGTTAAACAAGGGACTTAAGGCTGCACCTTAACATTAGTCTACGGCTGTGAAAAACAGACGTTAACTTCACTTCAGGGTGAGACCCAGGCACATATCAGCTGTGTCTCCTCCATGCTGGCTACCACGAGAAGGAAAAACAGACTGGGCTCAGTGCCGTGTGGCATCTGCTTAGCCCGGATGAGGGGCTTGGCAGGCCAAAGTGTGCCCCACAAGGTGGGCATAATGCGAGCTGTGGCCCTCTTGTGTTTCTCAGGCTCTGGGCTGTTGAAGGACGTGATTTGGCTAAGATAGCATACCAGGACAGTCCTGCTCCAGTTGCTTTCCCTTGTGTTGGCACTGGCACTTGTCTGACTGCAGGGAGAC